TATTTTCTTATTCTTTTTTTTGAATTGGAGTCTCACTCTGTCGCCCAAACTGGAGTGCAGTGGCCGCTCCCGGCCACCGCAGCCTCGACCTGCTGGGCTCCAGCAATCCTTCCGCCTCAGCCTTCCAAGTAGTTGGAATTACAGGTGTGCGCTACCATGCCCGGCTAATTTTTTTATTTTATTGTAGAGATGAGGTCTCGCCTGCCTAGGCGGGTCTCGAACCCGCGCTCAGGCAATCCACTCACCTCAGCCTCCCAAAGGCGTGGGATTACAGGCTGAGCCGCCGAGCCCGGCTCTAAGTCTATTTTTAATTTACATTTTCCCTACATCTTTTGTTTATAAAGATTTTTAAACATACAAAAAAATTGAAAGAGTGGTGCTATTAACACTCATACTGTCTATACCTAGATTCAAAAATTAAAACTTTGCTGCATTTGCTTTCTTTCTGTATATTTTTTCTGAAGCCTTTTAACTAAACTGCTTCATTCCTAAATACTTCAGCATTCATCCCCAAAGGCAAGACATTTTCCTATAAAACCACAATAACATTTTCATACCTAAGAAAATTTACAATAATTCTATATCATCTAATATCTAGCTCACATTCAAATTTTCACAAATGTCACAAAAAGTCTTTTATATTTGGGTTTTTCAAATCCAGATCAAATAAACGTTCAAGCACTGTACTTGTTTCCTCAGTCTCTTAATGAAGAACAGTACCTCTACATCTTTTTCCCATGACGTTGACTTTTTTGAAAAGTTCAAGTCTTTTCAAAAGTTTTATAGAAAGTCAAACATTCTGTATTTTTCCATATCATTTATTTCTTGTAAACTGGAAAGGATATTTAGGCTAAACATTTTGGGCAAAAATATTTCACCATTTACATTTTATATTTCTTACTGTATCAAATTAGAAGGTCCATAAGGTCAGTCTGTACCATTATCATGATACTAACTTTGATCAATTACTTAAGGTGGTGCTGACCAGGTAGCATCATTATAAAGATGCATTTTTTTCCATTTGTAACTGGTAAGTAACCTGTGAATAATTCACTGAGATAATGTGAATAACCTCTTCCTCAACATTCTTTTACCCAATGGTTTTGATGTGTCTGCAACAGAATACTGAGTATGCAAACCAGTGATTGTTCTAGTTCTATCATTACTTGTACTTTTATTAGTTGGCATTCTTCTGCAGTAAAGAGCTTTCCTTCCTCTAACCACCTCCATGAGTTTTTGCTTATCCAATGTGTTATAAACAAATACATTATTGTTTTTGATATTCAGATTATCCCAAACATCATCGGTGTCAGCCCTTCCAAGCAGGTTCCTATGTTCTTTACACATGACCCTATGAGTGTTTCAGCTCTTCTTTGCTTTGTCGTACATTTTATTCAAGGCTAACCTTGGATTTTCCTTGCCCCAGACAGAGGATCGGTCATTAATTTAAGCATCCTTGATTTCTTCGAAAAGGAAATGCTATTTAGTAACAAAGAACTGGAACTAGGTTATTCATTGCTTTTTGGATAGGATCACTTCAAGACTGGTTCAGTGAATAAAGGTTTTGGTTGTTGCGGTTTTCTATTTAAATCAGGAGTTAAATATTGACATTCACAATTTAACCTCAACATAAAAAATTCCCCCTTTGTTTTGAATTTTTTTATCTGTATCTTTTTCTTACAGCATAAACCTTGCCTTGTGATAACATTAATATATTACTTTTTGCTTTATCTTTGTGAGGTATGTGTGTGTGTATTTAATTATAATTATATGACTATTATTAATAAACCTACTGGGTGATGCTTAAAACTTTGCTTCCTTGTTTTTAGAGTAGATCTCATTAAGGATGATTCAGGGGACTGTGTTGACAAGTTAGCTAAAATAACTGCTTTCTCTGTGTGATTATATTATTAAATTGATAAACACAGATTCATTGACTTTTTTTGTGCTCATTTTTAGGGTTTATAGTGTTTAATTTTGCTTTTTTATACGTAAAACATTAATATGGCTTAAAAGTCAAAACTATATAAGCAGGTACGCTTAGAGTACTCTAGTTCTTATCTTTATCTCTTCTACCCTATTCACCGAAATCCATGCAGTAACCATTTTCATTATTTTTTATTTATTTTTTATTTTTAGAGTCAGGTCTTGCTTTGTTGCCCAGGCTGGACTGCAATGGTGTTAAAATAACTCACTGCAGATTCCATCTCCTGGGCTCAAGTGATCCTTCTGCCTCAGCCTTTCGAGTAGCTGAGACTACAGGTGCCACCACACACAGCTCATTTTTTTTTTTTTTTTTTTTGGGTAAAGATAGCATGTCCCTATGTTGCCCAGGTTGATCTCAAACTACTGGGCTCAAAAGATCCTCAGCCTCCCAAAGTGCTGGGATTACAGGTGTGAGTCACCACACCCAACTCATTTGCTTATTTTTATAACAACTTTATTAAAATGTCTTACATATCATAATATTCAACCTTCTAAAGAGTAAAATTCAATAACCATTAGGCTATTCACAGAGTTGTGTAACTGTTGTCACTATCTAATTTCAAACATTTTCATCACTCCAAAGAGAAACTTCATACCCATCATCAGTCACTCTGCATTCCTTCCCCCACTCCACTTCCTGGCCCTTGACAACCACTAATCTGCTCTCTGTCCCCACATATTTGTCTAATCTGAAAATTTCATATAAATGGAGTCATATAATAAGTAGCCTTTTATGTCTGGCTTCTTTCACTTAGCATAATATGTTCAAGGTTCATCCATGTTGTGGCATGTATCAGTACTTCATTCCTTTTTAGGGCTGTATGCTTATACCATATTTTGTTTATTCATTCATTATATGGTGGATATTTGGATTTTTTCCACCTTGGGACAACCATGAATAACATTGCTATGAACATCTCTATAAAAGTTTTTATGTGAACACATGTTTTCATTTATCTTGAGTATATACATAGGAGAGGAATTACTAGGTTTTGTGTAACTCTACATTGAACTTTTGGAGTCATTAGGTTTTTTAATTTATCTGAGTATGCTTCATTTGACAAAAATAAGAAAGTGTGGTATATATTCTTATAGATACTTTTTCCCCCGTTTTTCTTGAAAAAAAAAAACGTATTATATACTGTTTTACACCTTTGGTTTGCTTGTTTGTTTTTAATGTTGCTGCTTATTTGTTTTATATCCTGAAAATTTGTAATGCATCCTGAAAATCATTACAAAAACAAAGTTCATAGAGATCTTCCTGATTTTTTAAATGTCTGTGTACTATATGTTTAAATATACCCTTATTTACTCAACTGGCCCCTACTGTCAGATGTTTGTGTTGCAGTGACAAACTTTGTTCATATGTTGTTTTATGTTTGTGGAGGTACATTTTTAGAGTAGATGCCTAAAAATGGAACTGCTGGGTCAAAAGATAACTGAATGTGCTGATTTGTTAGATATTGCCAACCTCCTTTCTCTTGGACTATATTGTAGTAACACCAGAAATGTATTGGAGTGCCTGTTTCCCCATAGTCTCATCAATAAGCATTAGGATTAGTCAATAAATGGTAGCTCAATGTAGGTTTGACTTGCATTTTTCTTTAATTTGATTTAATTTTAATTTGTGGTCCAAGGAATGGAATGGGTTATTTTTTAAGTCACACAGAAAATTAGTGATAAACCTGGAACTTGAACCCAAAGTCTTTTTCTTAAAAGCAATTTCAAATTATCATGAAAATGTCTTCTTTGCTAATTTTCATACTTTTACTGAGATTATCATGTAATATTATTAATAAAAGTATTATTATACTTTTTGGAGAGAAAAATGACATCTCTTAATGTTCTCTATTAGCCCAAACTGCAAACATTGGCAGCAAATATAAAAGCCAGACTCTTGTTAATTCTGCTTATTATCTATATTAGCGTCTATAATACTCATTTGCTACAGAAGTGTAAAAAAATTAGAAAGTTGGAGCAGAATCAGATATTGGTAATATGGCATATCACAGGAAAATTTGAAGCTCAGATAGGCAAAGCACTCAGAATTCATTCCAGTGAGAGGTCAAGAGAACCATAGCCTGAAGACTCACCTTCACCTTGAAGACCTTAATTTTAGGTGTTTGAGATCTTTTCCTCTTTAATGTGGTTAAAATATAACATTACTGAATGTTTTAGTGTTCTGACAGCTTTATTTGCTAAATATATATACTTAAAATGCGTTACAATTTTTCTAAGCCTATTTTCACATTTCTTTACTGTTTAATATACCAAGAGAGGCATTGAGAGTGATCTGTCTCTGGTCACCAAATGAGCTAGCATCGGAACTGAAACTAGTGCCCAGGTTTGCTGACTCCCAGACCAGTTGATTTCTACATTTTTTTGAGTCAAATAAATGTATCTTTATTCACAATATTAAATCCTCTGGCCAGGAAGCACTACTGTGAGACACATATGCTCCTTTCAATGACCTCAGTGCCTACTTTCTGTTACTGCTATTACTGTCTGTTACTAGAGCGCTTCTATCTGTGACTGCCTGCCATACCAGTACAAGAAGATGACCAGAATCTTAACAACCTCCTTTTCTTCAGAGTTTCCTATGTGCCATACACTTTACCTGTGTTCATCCTAACCCATACAATAGGCCTGCATGTAAGCATGACTATTCTCATTGCACAGGTGACCAAACAGAGACTGAGAGGTTTGCCTAAGATTATACAGCTAAATTAGTTGAAGAGCTTGGATTCAAAACAAAGCTTATCTGACAGCAAAGCTTGTGTTCATTCCACTGTACCTTGGTGTTGCTTTTCAACTAAGACAACCCAGATGCATAATGAATCCAAGAGAATATACACAAAGGTCAAGGCAAAATCACCTTCCTCAGAGAGCACTCAGCCTGCCCAAGAAGCAGTATAGGGCTGGAATGGAAAGAGCTGAAAGGCAGTTTCTCTGCAGTCCTACCACGTGGGCCAGTCCTGTAATGGATCCTTTCTGAAAACCCAGCAGTTACTTACTTGACTAAGTGTCTTATCAGAAGTTCTAGCATCTCTCGGTTCTTTTCTGGTAGTTTATATACCAGGGAGTGAATGGCTCCCAGCCGGTAATCCAGGTTGTCAGACTCTGAGAGAGAACAGTGACAAAAATGGTTTGGCTTTCAGGGCAAATGGATTGAGCAAATTCTCCTACACATATGCATGCATATAGCACACACAAACACACACACACACACACACACACACACACACACACACACACACACACACACACACACACAGAGAGACAATGAGTAACACAGAGATGAAAAGAAATGAAGAAATAGGTTTAGAAGGATGATGAAAATAGAAGAGAGAAAAGAAGAGAAAGATGAGAAGACAAGACTGTCTTCAAGGAAGTCAAAATGCTGGACACAGCAGGTTGTTCCTAAAGTTGCACATACAAATTTCTAGCTGAAAACCTATTCCCACCCACCTTCTTTGTGGTACTGAGATGTGCTGTTACCTCTGGGTTCCTGTGAAAATCACTGAGACAGTTCAGCAGTAAAGACCAAAGTTACTTTGCCTCAACAAATGAAGATAAATCCCCTGAATCCTTTTACTGCACAGCACACAGGACAGGATGCAGGATAAGGTCACACTGAGATGGGAAGGGACACTTATACAGTGGCCTCAGACAAAACGTTCAATGCTTCTTCAACTGCCAACATTTGGGATAATTCTATATGCTTTATTTCTCATGTACCTCTGTCTTCATCCTCAGTTTTCTTATCTAAAAAATGTGATGCTGGCACTAACAGGTTGGGAACAATGATTCACAACACAATTGAAAAACATCTGAAAAGGCAAAGTGCTGAAGGAGGCTGAAACAGCAACTGTGATGTAACCATTTTACCGCCCCCGGTAATGTGAGCCAATGCTCCTGTTCTGATGGAAGAAGTTACAAATAAAGACATAAAGTCTTTACATCTGTCAATCTGTCACATCCCTCAAGTTAGCCAGTTTTCCCCAACCCACTCAACTAACTGATTTATGAAAAACAATATTACTCTTAAGTCTGACTGCAAGCAAGAAAACCCTAATTTGGCAATGGACAAAATCTGTGTATTTTTGTATTACTATTTTTTTTAACCCTCAATCGCTTCCCCTCAAACAGTTTTCCAAACTTATTGCTGAAAATCTTATTAAGAAATCAGGACAACACAATTAACTAGTAAATACTTACTTGCAGCAGAGACCAGCTCTTTGTGAAGCTTATAGGTCATGACAGGTTCAGAAAGATTCCTGAAATGAATGAAGACTGTAAGTTCCTTTAGGGAGGAGAGTAGCCAAGTTTGAATTCTCAGTTTTGTGGGCAGTGAGGCTGAAGTTTCTGAGCCCTGCAGCTTAGTGGAATTACATACATTTTTCTCTTCACCTGGAGCTTTGTCAGGAGAATCCAAGTTGCTAGTAATTCAACAAAAGACCTGCAAAAGTGTGGGTTGATGCCTATAGCAAGGTCTCCAATCAACTCTCAAAAGTGGAAAGAGGCACAAACCAGTTCTACAAAATTCCAAAGTGGACTCTTTTTGAATGCTACCATGAATCCCTTACAATTTGATAGATGCTTAGAATTTCTAAAGTGCTTTTGCATCTGTCCTGTCATTTGGCCTTTTCAATGATTCTGTGAGATGGAGCAGTTATTCAAATCCCCATTTATTGGAAGAGAAAAATGAGGCCCAAGTAGGCTTCTTCATTTAGTCAGAAAACATTGCCTAAACCCCTATTCGAACCTGCCAATGGTGCCAGGTATTGGGGATCCACAGATGAATAAGACATCGTCCAAGCCTCCAAAGAACCTCCAAAGAACTAATAGTGTAGTAGAAGAGAGCACCAATGTAGTAAAACAAGTATAATAATAAAATAAAGGTGGGTGGCTCAGAGGAAAGAAGTGACCAGCTAATAATAATAATAATAATAATAATAATAATGATAATAGTAAACTCTGCACTGTTCTAAGTGATTTACATGTATTCACTCATTTAAGCCTCATTACAACCCTGTGAGGTAGATACTGCTAATGTCTCCACTTTATAGACTGGGAAACTGAAGCCAGATATGTTAAAGAACTCATCCAAGACTACAGAGCCAATAAGTGGGAGAACCAAGAAGTCTATCACCCAAGTCCATGCTCTTAATTATTATTATTATTAATTATACTGTCTGCCACTGTCATTATTATAATAATACAGGAGAAAGATAATAAAGGTCTAAACAGAAATGGTGGCAACAAAGATAGAAAGAAAAGGTGAGGGGAGAGTGTTCTGAAAGACATTAAGAAATAATTATTTCATTAATTGGGTATGATGGTGAAAAAGAGTAATCTGGTTTGGGTGGCTGGAGAGAATAGGAATTGATCAAGAGGGAAGTACAGATGCTCAGTTAGAGGGGCTAGAAAGGGCTAGAGAGGTTAGAAAGGGGAAGATGTCTATGAAGAATCTGGATACAGGGCCCTTCTAGGTCTGAGAAGCAGATGAGAAAATGAACCTAGAAAGGTGGTTAAAATAATGAGAACAGAGGTTACTGCTCCAGGAGAGGTAGCAAACCGGCAGCCAAACAGCTACATGAGGCCTTCTAACATTTCTTGTTTGTCCAACACAGAGTATAAAAATAAAGTGGAACTGAATCAATGATTAAAATTTTTAAAATTAGGTATTTCAATACAAACTCATATTTTCTATCTCTGTTGAAAAACTGAAGGGTACCAGGTGATCTCAAACCAGGCAAAGTGGGGATTCAAAGGGAGGCCCAAACTTTACCTGTACGATGACTACTTATATACCTAATCCTGAATTGTACCCTACATCTTTAATATAACAAAAAAAGAAAAAAAGAAAAACTGAAAGATCTGGCTCCTTGGGCCCACATGGTTATTTGTACAAGTAAACAATACTGTTTGTATGTAAACAAAGGGATTGTCATATAAATAAAAGTTCAATGTGTAAAGTGTTTATTAGGAAAACAGTCTACTTCACTCATTTCATTTCTTGGCCTCTAGAGATTTTTCAGTTGTCCATCACTCTGGTGTAGTAAAAAGAAAAAAGAGGCCTGGGAACTATCACATAGAAGTCCATTAAAGGGAATGCCAGAAATGACCAAAGAGGTAAGAGAAAAACCAAAAGTAGCAGAATCCAAGAGAAGAATGTTTCTAGGAAGGCTTGTTAACAACTTCAAATGTTATAGAGGTTAGGTAAGGTAAAGACTGATAATTGTCCTTTGTGTGCAACACTGAGGGAGTCTCTGGCAAACGCAGCTTCATTGGCGCAGAGGTTGAGAGTCAGATTACAATGGGCTGAATAGTAAATTGGTGTGGAGGGGTTAAGTAGAGATAGGAAGTATATATTACTTGATAGAGAAGCTTGGCTGGGAAGGTGGAGTATCTCATTAGGCAATCTTGTCTAAGTTCCTGACTCTAATTATCACCTATATAGTCAACAATTCCCAACTTTTTAGCTCAAGCTCAGAACACAGTGCTTAGTTTCAGACCTATATATATCCAACTGCCTGCTTAATATCATGCCTTGACTCAAATTTGACATACCAGAAACCCAACTTGTTCTCTCCCTCAAATCTGGTCCCCTTGTGTTTCCTAAATCAGTAAATGCATGACCATCATGTGCCAGAAACATAGAAGTCATTTTTTATCTCCCTCTCCTCAATCCTCCTATCCAATTCATCAATTTTACTCCCCAAATGTAATGAATATACTTACTTGTACCACTAACCACTACTACACCCCAGTTCATGCAGAAGCATCATCTCTTGCCTGGACCACAGCCCTAGCCTGCTAACAGATTTCCACCTCAACTCATTTTGTCTCCTTCTAATCTAATCTCCATACTTGTTTTTTTTTGTTTTTGTTGTTATTTTTCAAAATACAAATCTCACCATGTAAGCTTCTGTTTAAAAATCTTTCAATGTATTTCCATTACTTTTAAGATAAATCCAGACCCTAATTCTTTTTTAACTGCATGCTGTAATTTTATTTTATTATTATTATTTTTTAATTTTAGATTCAGGAAGTACACGTGCATGTTCATGACATGGACATATTTTGTAGTGTTAGGGACTGAATCTCAGTGGCCCATTCCCCAGATAGTGGACTCTGTGCCCCACAGGTAATTTCTGAGTCCTAACTCCCCTTCTCACCTCCCCCTTTATTGGTGTCTTCAGTACTGCATGATCTGTCCCCTACGTACTTCCTCCTGCCTCTCTATATACTCAATACTCCACCTATACTGGTTTCTGTCGTTTTTTGAAGTGGCCTTCCTCTCTCCTGCCTCAAGGCTTTGTGTATGTACAGTTCCATTTGTCTGCAGTTCCCCATCCCTCTAGTTGATTCCAACTTATACTTCGAAGCTCAGTTTAAATAACTAGAATAGGTCAGGTCTTCCTATTAAATGCCTTCATAGCACACTATATCTTTCCTTCAGAATACTGATTGGAGTTTGCTATATTTGTGATTATTTGTCTTCTCACTGTGCCATTTACTAGACGATAAGATCTTTGAGGCTTGAGATCATACCTAGTGCCTAGTGCCTAGCATCATGCTTGGCACAGAGTAGGCACTCAGGTGATTTTTATTAAATAATTTAGTGATTTAAAAATATGCATTGCTATAACATATTTATATGCTGAGAAAAACCAGCTAGTTGAATAAGAAGGATAAAGATACAAGAGAAAGAAAGGATGATTTTTAGAGGACTTTTCTGAAAATACTGGAGATAAAGGGTGACTTGGGTACCTAGAACATAGATGGAGATCCACTCTGGAACACTGATTATCTTTGTGAAATCAAAGGGGTGTTGATTGGCTAGGGTATATTAAAGAACCATGGATGAGGGTCTCAGAAACAAATCTCTTATTCAGGGCACTACCCACTCACATTTTCAGGTTCAACCTTCCCATCTTTGGAGAGGGCCACATTATTTATTATGAGATGAGCTGGTAATGATGCAATGTGGGGAAGGATTTAAGCTATATAAATCTTAGAGGATTTGGACTCTGTTCAAGAAGGCTAGAGACTGAATCACTTACTCCCATTATTCTCATCATAATGAGTCCTCTGAAAGTATTGAAGTCAGATTGCTCTCTGTCTTCACTAAATTACCCAGGCAACACAAAGAAGGCCACAGCCCCTGAGAGTAGAAGGTAGGGGAAGAAGATGCCCCAGTACCACTGGCCTTATAAGTCAGAGATACTTAGGTTCAAACAATACTAGCTATGACCATGAATATTACTTAATGACAAAAGGTGTGTACCTCAGTTTCCTCATCTGCAAAATGCATAAAGTACTTGGTTCTGGGAGAAAAAAAACCCAATGGCACAATCACTGTAAGTAACTAGCACACAGCGTAGTACCAAATAAACCCTCCAATAACAGTACTTTTCATGTTTAGCAGACGCAGGAGAAATATTTCTGGAAAGAGTATTCATGTTTATACAAAGCTCCAAAATGATGCTACAGCAGAAAATTACTTAACAGAAATATCTGGAACCCAATCTATCTTGGATTAATGATATTTTCCAGAGTTTAAGTATCTACTTCAATGCCTAAAGAGTACAATCGCTGAAAAAAGAAACTTTAGCACATAAAGTATGGTGAATACACAGAACACTAAGAATAGTAAAAAAATCAAAGGTTTAAAAATATATGTCTCAAACACCTTTTGCATAATATAAACGTATGTCCATAAACTGAACAATATGCCCATCATCATTGTACATCCCCAAATTCTGCTGGTGAGTTAACTTATTTTTCATACTGTTGACCCTTCATTTGGCTCCAACATTTTCATGATTGTATTTTCTTAGTTTTTATTTTCATTATCTGGATTAAGGCATGGTCTCACACACACACACACACACACAGGCATGCACGCGTGTACAAATGCACATGTTATTTTTTCCCAAATGGAAGTTGATGTTTCAAAATAGTTGTTATCCATTAAAACATGGTAACAACCCTGAATTGTCACAACTCACGATTTTACTAGTGACCCAACCATGACATCACACTCCTGTAAACAATGGTAAAATGTGTTCAATTATTTCAAGTGCATGATTTTTAAAATAATCTTTTTAACCTTGTCTTCAATAATAATTCTATTGTTTCTGTTTCCCTTCTTAAATTCTCACATTTATAATAAAACAAAGTCATCTGGACATTCTTTGACAGAAATCCTCTTCATACATTTTTTTCTTAAACAATCCTATTCAAACTCATGACACTAAGACCACATTATCCCCTAGGTGCACTCAGACAAATTTCATCAACTATGAAAAGCAAGTCTCAATTCAATTCAAACATACCTGAGGTAGAATTTCAAGGAGCTGGTGATTGTCTTAATGTCCCAGTCACTATTATGAAAATCAACATCTCCCGGGCATTTGGGATCTATTTGAGAAAAGTAAACAAAAAAATAAAAGTTAATCATCCAAAAGATCTTACTTTCTATCCCTTTTTAAAAGTAGTGTATTAATTTTAAAAGACAGTTGCTCTAACCAGTTTTCAAGAAATTAAAATTAATTTTGAAAGATAGTTTCTCTAACCAGTTTTCAAGAAATTAAAATTAATTTTGAAAGATAGTTGCTCTACCCAGTTTTCAAGAATTTAGGAAAAGCAAGTCTTCAATGTTTCAAAAGTTCCCTTGCATTTTGGTCTAGCATATTAAGGTGATACGAAGTCAACTCTTCAATCCACACAAGAAAAAGGCTTAATGAAGGGAAAAATCAACTATTCTTAGACCCATCAGAGAACTGAGGTCATAGGGCAAACAAACAGCTTCCTCCAAAACTGAAGAGACAAACAAGCAGATACAGAGAATCAAGCCTTATTGGAAGAGAGGCTCAGGAGTAGAAAACCCCCTTGGAAACCAGTACTGGAATAGGAAAACCTAATCTGTAATTGAAAAAATTGCTGGAGGCTCAATATGTACAAGTTGGAGAGGTAAAAACTCCAGGGGAGCCAAGTTCTGCAGTGGGGGACCCCCACACTTTTGTGAATTTTACTTTTAGGAGTCCAATCAGGTTCTTACTGGGAAGATCTGAGAAAAATCTTCTCATGCTTCCAGCAGCGGGAGAAAAAAGTAGCCATCCTATTGTTTGTTTGTTTGTTTGTTTGTTTGCTTTTTAGTCTCACTCTGTCATCCAGGCTGGAATGCAGTGGCGTGATCACAGCTAACCACAGCCTCAACCTCCTGGGTTCAGGTGATCCTTCTACTTCAGTCTCTCAAGTAGCTGCCAACTTTAAATATGTCTAGAGCTTTCTGTTCTTCTTAACAAAGCCTGCCCTCAAGAGAAACTACTTTACCAGACCCTAATCTCCTGCAGTTTTATCAGAACCTAAATGAATTGGGTGAAGGGAAATATCCAGTTCTAGACCTAGCTTGCCTTCCTGTCTCCTCTAAAGAGGAAAAACCAAGTCAAACCTGAGAAGTATACGCGTAGGTTACAGGCCAGGAACAACAAGGGGACAATCTAAATGTCCATCAATAATAGAAGACTAGAAAAATAAAATGTGGTATATACACATAATGGAATACTATACAACTTTAAAAAAACAAGGAAATTCTGTCTTCAAGCCATGGATGACCTGGAGGACATTATGTTAACAGAAATAAGCCTAGCACAGAAAGACAAACAATGTATACTCTTACTTATATGTGGAATCTAAAAAAGTTGATCATGGAATCTGAGCATTATATATAAGGTGGTTACCAGAAGTTGGGGAAGGGGATTAGGATGGGGAAAGGAAAGAGGTTAATCAAAGGGTACAAAGTTTCAGTTAGAATAGTAGAATAAGTTTTAGTGATCTTTCATGATATGGTGACCACAGTTAATAGTACTGTATTGCATATTTCAAAATTGCTAAAAGAACAGACTTTTAACATTCTCACTATAAAATGAAGATAAATTGGTGGGTTGATACATGTTAATTAGGTTGACTGAATCTTCCTACAATGAAAACACAGATCAAAATATTACACTGTACCCCATAAATGCATACAATTATTATTTGTTGTTTAAAAATTAAGTAAATAAATGGGAAAAAAGAGAAGAAAAGATGATTAATCTAGAATTCTGTACCCAGTGAAATTATCCTTCAAAAGTGAAGGAGAAATAGAGACTCTCAGATAAATAAAAATTGAGGAAATTTATCACCAGTATACCTGCCTTGCAAGAAATATTAAAAAGTTCTTCAGAAAGAAAGAAAATAATATAGGCCAATAAACTGGATTTACATAAAGTAAAAGCATGAGAAGAAGAATAAATGATGGTAAAATAAAATATTTAATTTCTCTTATTCCTAATTGATATAACAAGTAACAGTTCAAAATAATAACAATAACAATGTAGTCAGTAATTATAACTTAGGGATAGGTGAAATGAATGGCAGCAACATTATAAGTGGTGGGTAGGAGGTACTGAAGCCCAAATAGCAAGAGATCTTACATGTCAGTGCTTCCCAAAGTGCAGCATGTGGATGAGCATTATTTTTACTTTTAATAATTATGCATTCATTTTTTAAAGTATTCAAAAAGTATAATTAGTATTTAAAATTATTCCAAGAACATCACTGCTTAGGTAAGGCAAAGAAACACAGTACATTTATTTAACAAAAAATATTCAGTAAATAATAGTACAGGTGTGTACAGACACAGGGAAAATGGTTCAAGAATGACTCAAGTTTGGGAAAATTTGATTTGAAGGAAGGGAGAACAGTTAAGAGATCATTGCAATCGTCTGAATGAGAGACCATGAAAGCCTGAACTAAGACAGTAGCAGTAAGAATGAAGCAGGAAGTAAATTTTTTAAATATTTAGTAGATAAAATTGATTACACTTGGTGGCTGATTAAATGTAAGGGTTATGGATGAGAATAAACAAGGACAGCACGTATATTTCCATATGAGTCTAGGTTGACAGTGGTATTGCCAACCAAGACAGGAAATACAGAAAAAGGCACATCTCAGTTTTTGTACCGTTTTCCATTTCATTTTGGTGTTATGGACTAGGCACTGAGACGATGAATGGGCTCAGTATTAGATTCGTGGAGTTTGAGGGGCCTACAAGGTTTCTAGGTAGAGGTGACAGGCCTGGAATTAAGAGGACTAAGCTGGAGAACCATCAACATAGCTAAAATCATAAGATGAGTATGAAGAGAAGTCTGTGAACAGAATCCTGGAGACCATGGTCAAGGGCTAAGTGGAAGAAAAGGAATCCCAGAGGGAGGGTGGAATGGAAGAGTGAGAGACAGAAGTTTGGTAGAGAGACTCATGGAGATGGAGGGACGAGTGTAACAGGCATGTTCTGTATTAAATATAACAGACTTCAAACAAAGGAAAGACTAAGAAATTCTTACTGAAGCCAAATAAGTATCATTCTCAATAAAGACTGAGTGTAGTAGTAGGAAAAAAAGCAAGACTGAAATGGACTGAGGAGTAAAGATGTGAGGGCATCAATACTGTACGTCGCTTCTTCTCACACTTCAGTGTGCATGTGAGTCACCTGAAGATCTTGTTTAATTGCAGATTATGAGTCAGTACATCTGGGGTGGGGCTGGAGATTTCACAATCCTACAAAGCTCATTGGTGATACTGATACAGCTGGTTCCCAGGTCACACTTTGGACAACTAGGGGTGTAGATCATACTTTGAGAAGTTTGACTGAAATGGGAGGACAAAGAATAGAGTAGAATACCCGAAGAGGCATGTAAGGTAAAGGATGGCTTTTTTTACACTCTAACTTGAGCTCTATCACAGGCTGTGGGAAGAGCCACTAGAGAGGAGGGAGTTAATATACAGTTGAGTAAGAAGATAATTAATGGTATAAGATCCTTGAGAAAAAGAGAAAAGATGGCATCACCATCACAGTTGGAAGAATTAGCCCAAAGCAGGAGGAGGAATGCTTATTCTGAGGCTACGAAAAGAAAAGGAAGGATGAGTGTGGATGCAGTAAGGGACTTCACACCTGATGGCCTATAGTAATCAGGCTTAGGTTAGAAGAGGGTTGATGGTATTATTACTTCTAAAGAAGGTACTTGCTAACCAAATGGGTGTGGTAAGACTCCTCAAAAAAAAAGAAGTAAAAACTCTATATCAGAAATAGCATATTTATAAGTGTACATTCATTATTACACAGAGAGGCCAACAGACATTGGATGTCCAAAATTGAAGCAACATGATAACTAGAAATACATTATCTATTGCACAGGGGGAACTTCATGAGACCTTCCTTTTCTACTATACTTGGTCTCAACCTACATTTGTTAGATAACATCTAGATTACTAGTCACCCTGCTTTGTATTACCGCTGTGTGTACGTTCCTGACAACCAATGTATTGAATGTCTTCTAGCTTGTCCAGTACACCTGATATAACCCTTTTCTCCCAGCAGAGTGTGTGGCATGTAGTAGGTAGGCTCCATCCTTTTAGAATGGGGAATGACAAAGAAATCCTGGCTATAGGAACCAACATTTCAGTTGCTGGAATGAGAAAAATATCCTCCTATATAAATTGGTAACTGGTATATTCCAAAGCACTCTACAGCCTTATCTGAGTAAAATATTGGCCCCGTCCAAGGCCTGTTCCATTCTCAGTGAAAGTAGAGTGCATATCAATTTAGCCTGTTTAGGATCCTTAATTATCATGAGGCTATCAACTCCAATTTCAGTTTAGTCTACTGCATTTAGTTCTGCATTTCACTGATAAGGTGATTTCTGTATTTTTATTACTTCTCAGAGAAGGAAAAGTCCAGCTTTACATTGACTAAATCTTTTTCTTTTTAATTTTAAAGATGTGGGGTACAATTCAGGGTTAGGTATACAAATGATCATTATACAGGTACCCTTGTTGATAAAGTGTGCCCTTCTCTCCCCTGAAAGTTTCCCACTACTGCCAATCCCACCCCAATCCATCCCTTGGCAGTTTCCCCTACTGCCAATCCCTTTCTTTTAGTATTATGATAATTGTTCAAAGTCCGCTTATGAGTGAGAACATGTGATACTCAGTTCTTTGTTTCTGTGATAGATCACTCAGTATTATAAACTCTAAATCCATCCAAGTTGCTGCAAAGTTTATAATTCTGTCCTTCTTTATGGCTGCATAATATTCCATAGTGTATTATACTGCCTAATTTTATACACATCTTTGTGACAAGATAATATTCACAGAAAACTGCCTGAAGAACATGTAGGCTATCTACTCCTCTAGGTTGGTGGCTGTGAACTATTCTTTTTCACCCAAATACACCACTCTTTGAATCTGTGGTTTACCACAGCAATGATTATTGGAGTAATTTTTAACTGTTTATTAAAAAACTCATTTGGACTTGAAAGTTTAGAGTAAGAACTCACTGATAATCCTACAAGCTCAAATATGACTCTTGCTTATCTGTA